GTTACAACAAAAAATTGTTCAATCTCCCAAGGAGAGCTGGCTGACATTACCACCCATATCTGTTAGTAGTGACTATTAAAGCTTTTTCTTTATAGGTTACTCAGGAGAGTAGAGATAAGAGAGAGGAAAGCAGAATAGGCGAGTGAAGACATTGTGCAGAAGAGTAGAGTCAAACTTTTGTAGTTAAAGAAGAAGTATTTAGTGAGAATCAGAATTTGAGAGCCTTAGAGATTAACAACAGTTTCACAGGATAAAATAAGCTTGAATGCTAGTAGAATTGTGTATTGGATCCAGAGAACCGATTAATGAAGGAAAAAATTGAAAAAGGTATTTCCAGAGAATAAGTGCCTTTCACCGAGCATGGTGTGCTCGTAAGCTGGTTTCGTTCTAACAAATTATTCTAATTGAGTTCTTATCGAGACTTGTTGTTCCTCAAATATCATACTAAAATATATGTTGTATACACGATACTTGAAAGGATCAGTGCCATAACACAGACAATGATAACGACTTCAATTAATATCAGAGCAAATGAAGTGGTCATCATTATGTTGAGAAATTGTCATAGAGCACGACCACATGTCAACGGATGTTGGCATACTTTAAACGAAATAGTTTGGAAGTATTGATCTGTATTGAAATAAGCGATTAAGAATACCGAATCAATATCATAGAAAAAAGGCTGTCGATTTAAAACGTGGTGGAAACAGCACAAATGCACTATCATCTTTTATCTCATATGTAGTCAGTTCCAACCAAAGGCGCTCACAGAGTTGCCGAGCTAGCCTCACTGAGATCATTCTTAAGGGAAAGAATACGAATGACCTATGGAGCTATGGGGGATGCCAACGTAAAGACCGAATCCCCTGCCAGGAACATGACAGTTACCTTCTCGGAAAGCGACGCTGGTGATATCATTGGAAAGATCAAAGTTAATATCCAGAGTTTGTTCGATGCCTCTAAAGAACGGCAACAACGTAAGTTTCTAAAACTTGTGCAAGAGAATCGGATATCCGTCTCACCAACTAATGTTGACATAACATCTCGGGTTGACAGGAATAAATAGAAAGGAAAGGAAAATGTTGTAATAAACAATTTGAATGAGTCAGACACGTTCCCGAGGC